TCCCTAAGATTTAATAATACACAATAAATAAGTGAAAATAAATAAACAAACAAACAAATGTAAGAATTCAAGCAGAGAAACTCAGTAAAAAAAAAAAAAAAGCATCAAAATTTAAGAGGAGAAACACAGGGCCATCAAGGGAGGAAAAGTACCAGTAGTTTCATAAAAGACAAAAGTGGAGGGAGTTTGCAGATTGTAACCCATTTAATGAGTATGAGCAAAGAGGAAATTATGTCGTACACCTCTGCAAATCATCACCACTCTTGTAATAACTGATAAAACTTCCCTGGAAGAGGTGAGCACCATGAATATTGCAGAGGAGCTATCTTTCACTGTTACATGAAAACTAGAGTTCCTTTTGACAGAGATTACACTGGAGGTATTTGTGGTTAAACAGTCCTTGGTATCCAATCCAAGGCTTTAAATAGGGCTGGGGAGGAACTCATTAGAGTGTGTACTATAGCTACTGAATGACTATGTCTGGTAAACAACTAATGCTGAAATACTGAAAACTGCATGACATAATAAAAAAGTAAGGTATATAAAGTAAACACATAGGTAATATGCCAATATTATTATATTAATATTATGGTGCTCCTATCCAAGGACAAATTACTCAACAACAACAGAAAAAAAAAAAGTGAAGCAACAAAGCAAGCAAGCAACCAACCAAACAATATACACCTTTCAATTTTGGAAAAAAAAAAGGAAAAATGTATAAGGATTTACTGGTCTTTGTGCTTCAAGAGAAAATAGAACCATGAATGTTATCCTCTCCAAATTCTACAGAATTCTCCCACAATACTAGAAAACTTCAACTGAATAGGCATAATAACTTTTAGGGTCTAATAGATACTTACAAATTAATAAATAAATAATAATTAGTATTGGACTACAAATTGCTTTAGTACCCCTGAGACACCAGATTTATATATTTATATATCCAATATAATATTAATCTCAGTGTTTGTGAAGACATTAATTTATCTAAAAATAATTTTCTGTAGTAGCAAAAGCATATAAAACCTTTACTAAATAAGTTTATCTCTAAACACAGGATTATTTGCATTTCAATAAATAGATTTATATTTTTATTATGTTGGGTTGTCGGAAAAGTCATAATGTGTTTTTTCTATGTTTTTCGTTACAAAAATGCGTCATGACTTTTCCGACAACCCAATATACTGGTTCATGAGTTAAACACTATACTAAACAATCTTTTAAAGTTATTCTGAGGTGATAAATTTTGCATGCATTGTAGTGAAACTAAAAATGGTTACTCAAGTCAAAAATACCACTGAGGTAATTGGTGGAAATTTTCACATCAGAAGGTGAGCAGGTATCAAAGTTTCAAAATTTGAAGCATTAGTTAAGGAAAAGATCAGCAAGTATGTAATTAGCATCATCATGTCCTCTTTAGCTGACATAAATGGTTAGTTCTGTCACCCTAAATATCAAGATTTCACTTATTGGAATTTCCAGAAATTTTAGCAAAATGTATAAAGAAAAACAGAAGAAAAGAAAAGAAAAAAGAATGAAAGAGATAGACACAGCAAGTTGAATGTGAAAATCAAAAATTAACTTTAGGGCTGGCTGAGTGGCTCAGTTGGTTAAGAGCTCGCTCAAGAGTTTGAGCTCTGAGCAACAGCGGTTTGAGTCCAGCCTGAGCTGAGCAGCTGCTGAGCTGCCAACAGGTAGCAGGATGGCTCAGCTAAAAAAAAATAATAATAATTAACTTCAGTTTTTAAACCTAGTAATCCAGAGGGGATCCAAGATGACTTGTAGAAGAACATACAGAAACCTGATGCCAGTACAATGACTTGATTTTTTTCCCCAAAGATTGTCACAATAAAATTTCTTCCCCCATATATTCTTCTTACAGTATGGCTTAGACACTCATCCCATCAGGGGAAGGTACATACTTCTACTCCTTGAATCTGGCAGAGATTTGACTACATCAAAAGCAACACTACAATATGATCTCACTTATACTGTGGATTCTAAGGAACTGAATGGATGGGAGATGTGGACGGAGATAGTCTCAGAGACACAGAGGAAAAACTGAGCGTTGCTAGTTGGGAGGGGGTGGGGATGAAGGAGAAGGGGAAGGGATGAGACAACACAAATTGGCAACTACAATATGGCCTCAGGGATAGAAAAGACAGTCTGGGGAATATAATCAATAATGTTGTAAATATTTCTTAGGGGGCCAGGTGGACTCATGTCTTGTTAGGGAGACCACTTCATAGTCGGTGTAGAGGCACTATATTTCTGAAGCTGATGTTAAATAATATTGTATGTCAACTATAATTATATATACATATAGTCATGGGACATGGAGTAGAGAGTGGGAATGGAGTCAATGGAATTGTAATAGATAAGCATGATATCTGGGGTGGGAGGGCAGTAGATGGAGGGAAGGGGGGTTGTTACTTTGTGAGGGTGAAAAGGATAACTATTGCATTGTTCTGTATGCTTGAAACTAACAATAAAAAAAATAAAAAAAATAAAAAATAAAAAAAGAAGCAACACTGCAGATTACAAGTCTTGTTCAGGAGTTCTGCGTAAGCCTCCTGGGAAGCTTGTTCTTAGAACCCAGTGCCTTGCTGTGACACAGGAAACACAAACAGCCTAAGAGAAGCTCACATGGAGTAGAAATGAAGCCTGTGGCTTACGGCCCTGGCTGAGCTTGAGTGAACAGCTAGTAACCACTAGCCAAATTAGCCATTCTGAAAGTAGTGTCCAGTTCTCAGTCAAGGTGCCCTAGTCCATGCTGCAGGGAACATGGATGAGCTGTACCCTGAAGGCTGCTCAAACTGCAGCTTAATGAGCAAATTCAAAAATTGTAGTTTGAAGCCATTAAATGTTGGTGGTTTGTTACACAGCACCAGATAGTCAGAAAAGTGCCTATTATGCAAGTAAACATATTTTTTTCTGCACGGCAATGAAAATATACCCTTTACTGAATATTTGCCATAATTACTTACATAAGTAATACTAAATTGATCCACAGGATGTTAAAGAACTGGTCAATCTGTTAAAATTACAATGAGTCATAAAGTTTGATCACTCTGGAATTTATAGCATAACATTTAATTCAAGATACATGATTTTAAAAAACATGCTTTGTACTTGTTAGTTGTAAGGCTACAGAAAGTTATGTAAACTCTGACCATGAGAAATTTCATCTGTAAAATGACCACAATAGTGGTAACTATCCAAATAGATTTCAGTTAATATTTTTGTAGAGTTTAGCACAATTCATGACAAACTGAACATTCAATATAACCATTATTCTTTATTATCACTTATATTTTTATCCCAAATTTGGAGCATGGTCTTGTCTCTAGCATGAAAACTGCATACATATAAGAGAGGTGCTTAGTCTGTAATCTGAAAGAGAGAGGAAGGGATACTCAAAGGCTTTCATAAAGTCAATCCACTCTGCTTCTCAAGTAGCAACTTCTGCCTTTCTTTACTTCTCTCAATATATCAAGTATTGTTAAACAGTTATCAGACTGATTCATTGATGTTAGTCAGTATTATATCACTATGCCCCTTCACTTAGAATCTCACTGGTATGCCAGCTATACCAATCAACTCAGAAAAATAAATTAACACGAAAAATATTATTTTTTCCTCATGATTTCAATTAAGACTTTCAAGAGAAAAATTAATATTAACCATCATTAATTGTCTTCTTACTGGCAATCCACATAATACCGTGAAACATAACTTTAGGTAATCTATAATTATTTGTCCAGAGAAGTTCCACATTAGCTTTTTTGTCTACAAAATTACTACATTTAGCTGAAAACTGATATTATTTTCTTTATTCAATGCACATGACATTTATTCTTTTTTCTCCAGCATTTTTTGTTCCTATAAGCTAATTAGGCAGTAACCATTTATGTCAGTAGACACAAAAGTGATTCTCAAACATTTAAGATCCACAGTGAATAAACCTATAAAGCCTACAAATAAAACATTAGATAAAAACTCTGAAGCAAATAGAATGCAACATAATTAATACTTAGTAGAAGGCATTTCTGTTTTATTATTTAAAAATCTCAAAAGACAGGATCCCCAAAACCACAATTCTCACATGTTTGAGAACAAAAGTCCAATACCTTCTAACAAATTCTGACATCATGAGCCATGTTACTAAACCAGAAGCTGAAAAGCATTTCAGAGGAGCAACAAAGCCATTAGTCAAACAGTTGACTTAGAATTTGACTTCTCTAAAAGAGAATTTACATGTGTATATATATATATATATATATATATATATATATATATATATAAAACTTCTAAACAAGAAATTGATATTTTAGCCTAAGCAGGATATCCATTTGCCTTATAATTTGTATTCTTAGGCACAAGTGTTTATCATCCAGGGAGATCCAAGGTGTAAATTACAAGTTGATACCAATTACAGCCTCATTAAAATTTTAAAAATCCGATGCTGAATCAAATGTAGAAACTATGTATTCATTCCTTACCTTTTAGCTTCTTTAAAATACATCTTTAAGGGATACATATTTGTATTCATTAGCCCCCACCTCCAAACAGTGAAGCATAATCTCCAATAACATTTCAGAACTGTAAGAGGCTAAAGGAGATCCTGCTGACCTGTGTGTCTTCTGACGTAGGGCTGCATGTTTACATGTGAATTTAAGGAAATAATGGAGTTATTTCTCAGAATTTCCTAAAATTCATTGGGAACTGGACTCTGTTATGATTTACGGTGAAAAAAATAAAATCATCAGTGTAAAATAGGATGTTGCTTCGTGACATACTTTCGACTTTGTCAATATAATTATACGTTGTGACTAAAATTTTGCTCAACATGTATAAAATTGATTTTGGACATAAATATTTTTCAACAACCATATAGTGAAGTTTGAGAGTCTCACCTAATAGGTCTGCAAAACACTTGAACAGAATTCACTGGAGTTAAAGAGGTGTAAGTGAAGGGGGAAAGGTGAGAATATACTTACCGGAGTATGCAACTCAGGTATGGCGGCTTTATAGTTGACTGGGCGACAGTCACGAGTGTTTGGCACGATGACACAAGGAAGAAACATGGGACCCAAGTCATCTCCATCCAGAATATCTACTGTGAGGGTGGTAGTTGTGGTTCGCCGTTCATTCAGATTTTGTGCACGATCCTGTGAGGGGGGAGAAAACAAAACAAAGAAATAAATTGAACATAATGTTCCCCTCAGTTTGACTAAACACTAGACAGGTTTTTTCTCACTATCAGCACCTGACCTCTCTTTTCTTAGAGCATCTACTTTAGGAAACTTTCCAATGTAGAAACTTTTTCTGCCTTTTTGAGATGTCAATCTTCTCCCAGCTCATTTTTTTTATTAAAGTATAGTTGATATACAATATTATATTAATTTCAGTGTACCACATAATAATGATTCTACATTTAGATACCTTACAATCATCATGATGAGTGTGATAACCACCTGTCATTGTATAGTTATTGTGACATTATTATGGAGGTTCTACTTCTGGGTATTTAACCAAAGAAAATGAAAACACTGATTCAAAAAAATATATGCCCCCATGTTCATCCCAACTCAAACTTTTGCCACTTGTACAATCCAGGACTTGTTCTCAAGGATTTTGGAGTCATCCCTTGAAATGTAATCATCAAGGAAGACAGAGCTCCTATTTTCCTGTTGCAGTGAAAGGGTAGATACCTAACTTCCACAGAAGGCTTGCTCCAAATTGTGAAACTATCTCCCATCATGAAGATACAAGAAAGTTTACTTTTCCTTTGAGAGGGCCAATTAGCAAACACAGATAGCCCTTGATTCCTTCACTGCCACCCCACCCCAACAATTTTTTAAATTTTGTTTTTTATGATGCTTAAAGCAATTATACTTATTAGATAAATTTTGGTAAAAAAAGAAAAAGAAAACAAAACAAATAAACAAAAACAACAGCCTCAGAAAAAAAAAATGAAGGGGGAAATGAAGGGATGGAAAGAGGAGAAAATCCACCAGGTCTGTTTTACTCTTATTAGAGAAATGTTTTTGTATGCCTCACATGATTTTTTCTATTATAATTGCTTAGGGTAATTTAAAAAAAATACTGGCTCAATCTAAATTTAAGGGAAAAAAATAAGTAACATTATATGTGATCTTGGATTGGCAAAACTATTTTAATAATCTAGAAGCACTGTCTCTACACTAGCATGCTACTCAGCTTTACACCTTATGTGTCACCTCCAAGTCTCTGTAATAGACAAAGTGGAGTGTTTTCTAATGCTTTTTTCCTTTCAGTCTGTCAGCAACAAATCTCTCACTATCTTCCACTCTTAGGGTCATTGTCACTATTCCATAAACTGGATATGAGTGCATAACAGAGGGTACATATTTACCAATGTACATAATGTTGGCTTTTATTTTATACTGGGAAAAGACATAACTTACAAAGTGTTGATATATAAAATGAGAATTTAAAATGGAAAAAAAAAAAAAAGACCGGAAAACCTACTGCAGGGGGAAGGACAAATAATTTTTCCTCTATCTATCTAAGTTCTTGGCTGAGACTCCCCAATATTAAAAGGCAGATTAACAGTAGAAAAAAAAATTAGAAGTTTTATAACATGTATACCTCTTGTATATATGGGAGATACCCAGGAAAACAGGGTAACTCCCTGAAATGACCAAAGTCACCACTTGAAATACCACCTCCAGCTAAAGACAAAAAAAAAAAGGTATTGGGATTTTTTTTATTATTATTATTAGTTTTAGATGCACAAAACAATGCATTAGTTATACTTTTCAACCCCTCACAAATTGACCACCACCCTCCGCCAATCAACCACCCCCTCCCCCAATATCATACATATCTATCACAGTTCCATCAACTCCACTCCCAGTACTGCACTCCATATCCTGTGACCATATATATATATATATATATATATATATATATATATATATATATATATATATATATATATATATACACTCTTTGCATATGTACATTTATGATAAATACACTTTATTGTGAGTGAGAAACCAGGAGCCATATTTATTCATATNTAGTTGACATACAATATAATTCAACAGCAGCTTCAGATGTACAGTGCAGTGGTCAAGCCTCTACACCGTCCATGAAGTGGTCTTCCTAACAAGACATGAATCTATCTGACCCCCTAAAAATATTTACATATTGGTTATACTCCCCAAACTGTCTTTCATATCCCTTTGGCCACATTGTAGTTACCAATATATGTTGTCTCGTCTCTTCCCCTTCTCTTTCATCCCCATCCCCCTCCTATCTAGCAACAATCAGTTTTTCCTTTATGTCTGAGACTATTTCTGCTTACAATGATCATTTATTCAGTTCTTTAGATTCCACATATAAGTGAGATCATATGGTATTTGTCTTTATCCGACTGACTGATTTCACTTAGCATGATGTTCTCTAGGTCCATCCATATCATTGCAAATGGCGCAATTTAATTCCTCTTTATAGCTGAGTAATATTCCATTGTATAAATGAATGACAGTTTCTTGATCCAGCCATCTACCGATGGGCATTTTGGTTGTTTCCAGGTCTTGGCTATTGTAAATAGCGCTGCAATAAACATAGGGGTGCATATATTCTTTTGAATTAGCATCTTGGGTTTCTCTGGATAGATACCCAAAAGTGGAGTTGCTGGGTCATACGGTAGTTCCATTTCCAGTTTTTTGAGATACAGATTTCCATAACGGCTGCACCAATCTGCAGTCCCACCAACAATGCACGAGGGTTCCCTTTTCTCCACAACCTCGCCAGCACTTGTTGTTTGTTGATTTACTGATGATAGCCATTCTGACTAGAGTGATGTGGTATCTCATTGTGGTTTTTATTTGCATTTCTCTAATGGTTAGTGAGGTTGAACATTTTTTCATATGTCTGTTGGCCATCTGTATGTCCTCTTTAGAGAAATGTCTCTTCATATCCTCTGCCCATTTTTTAATTGGGATGTTAGTTGTTTTTGGTGTTGAGTTGCATGAGTGTTTTACAAATTTTGGATATTAACCCCTTTCAGGTATATCGTTGACAAATATCTTCTCCCATTCAGTAGGCTTCCTTTCTGTTTTATTGATGGTTTCCTTTGCTGTGAAAAATATTTTAAGTTTGATGTAACCCCATATGTTATTTTTTTTTACTTCCTTTGCCTGTGGGGATATATCAATAAAAATATTGCTCAGGGTAATGTCTGCAAATTCACTCCCTATATTTTCTTCTAGGAGTTTTATGATTTCAGGTCTTACATTTAAGTCTTTAAAGCATTTTGAGTTTGTTCTTGTATATGGCATAAGGAGGTGGTCCAGTTTCATTTTTTTGCATGTGTCAATCCAATTTTCCCAGCACCATTTATTAAACAGACTATCTTTACCCCAATGTAAATTCTTGCTTCCATTGTCATAGATTAACTGTCTGTATATGAATGGGTTTATTTCTGGGCTCTCTATTCTGTTCCATTGATGTATGTTCCTATTTTTATGACAGTACCATACTGTTTTGATTATTGTAGCCTTGTAGTATGATTTGATGTCTGGTAGCATGATACCCCCGGCTTTGTTCTTATTTCTCAGGATTTCCATGGCTATTCGGGGTCTTTTATGGTTCCATATGAATTTTAGGATTAGGTTTTCTATTTCTGTGAAAAATGCCCTTGGTAGTTTGATAGGAATTGCATTGAATCTATATATTGCTTTAAGCAGTATGAACATTTTAACTATATTAATTCTTCCTATCCATGAGCATGGCAGGTGTTTCCATTTATTTGTATCTTCTTTAATTTCTCTCTTCAGTGTCTTATAATTTTCTGAGTACAGGTCTTTTAGTTCTTTGGTTAAATTTATGCCTAAGTATTTTATAGTTCTTGAAGCAACTGTAAATGGGCCTGTTTTCTTAAATTCTCTTTCTGATAGTTTCTTATTGGTGTATACAAATGGAACTGATTTCTGAATATTGATTTTGTATCCTGCTACCTTGCTGAATTCATTTATCAAAAAAAAGAAAAAACCCAAAGCCAAAAAGAAAAAATATATATTATTTTTGTAATGGTAATTCTGTTAGAAAACTTTGAGGGAAAGACAAAAATAATTTACAAAAAGTAAAAGACCTTTGATTAAGCAAACAAGTGCTTGCATGTCAAATATAAAAATTTTTAATGTAAAATTTCAATTTATATAAATTGAAAAAATTGCAAGGACTCTTCATTACCTTTAGATGCAATATGAGAACAGTCCCCAAATTAATACTGTGATATGGTTTGCACAGAGGACTTCTAAATTTATGAAGGAATGTCAATTCACAGACGAAAGAACTGACCTCATGAAATAGATATTTTAAAAAAATTTCACCTTATTAATGTTTCATCAAATTAATGGTTAAACCAGATATGATTAATTAATTTCTATCGTGAAAGTGGATTACTCTGGATATAGTAGGTCAAATATCGAGATTAATTAACATTTTAAAAGAAGGAACACTGCATAATTCCAAAGCGTCATGGACATAGTTAGAAATCATTCAGCGGATAGATGCATGAGCTGTGAATTATAACCCATTTGTGAAATTATTTGGAAAAAGAGAAGACAATAAATTCCAAGATCTGTGAAAAAAAAAAGAAAAAGAAAAAGATATTGGTAGGGGGAGAACCATGTTTTCAGGCAAAACCCAGTAAATGAGGGTACGGTTGTTATTTAAATTTCAGTCCCTGCTTTCTCCATTGATGAGCTTCTACAGATTTTGTCATCCTTCTATTCCAGATATGGAGAAGGAGGCACTTTTGCAAGTGGAGCTTTTCCCTTATAAGTTGTTTTTACAAAGGGTAACTTCTATTTGGTTTTCAGAGCTTCTCTCCAATCTGCTGTTTTGATTTTGTTGTTGTTGTTGTCATTTTGTTTTATTTTGTGAATCCATGGTGTTTTTCTCCCAGTTCAAACCAAATCCATCTTAAAAATATGTCTATAGTGAAGTCCCTGGCAATTGAGAGAAAGAAAGAAAGAAACAAGCAACAAAACATTTTGCTCTCTCTCTCTAGGAAAATACTATTGCTACAGACTGTTCTGGATAAAATAAATAACATTATAAATTGAGAGTAGTATAAATAAAACATAATTATTTGCATAAATATTTATGTGAT